AGATAATCTGCGGGGGCAGCTGCCCTGAAAATTTAATCAAAATCTATCGGTTCGTGTGCAAACGGTGCAAGGTGCCCCAATTCGCTGCACCAAACACGAATCCTATCCCGAAATGGAAACACCCTCAGTTTGTTTTTCAATAGAAAAACACAATAGTAATTCGTATTCGTTTCGGGCTACACTGAGGTAAAAAATTGTTAAAAACCAAATATTTCGGCTTTATTGAGTAGCCTTGTTCACTGAACCAGTGAACCAGTGAACAAGGCTACTCAATAAAGCCGAAATATTTGGTTTTTAACAATTTTTTACCTCAGTGTAGCCCGAAACGAATACGAATTACTATCATTTACCTGAGGAAGATTAGAAATGACACTTCGTCAATACCAGAAAAACACAATTCTAAAGAATAGTGTTTGTCTAATGAAGAAACAACCTTCGGTAGAACTGGATTTGACACGAACACTGCCTATCTGCAGTAGGGGACCCAAAAATGTCAATGATATCGATCAGCCTCGGAACGCAACCGCATGTCTCAGAGGCATGCGGTTTTCTGCTATGAGTAGCCCCATTGGCCCCGCTTCATTCACTACTATTGGCTATTCATGTGTGAGGTGCCCACAAGCCGGAATCACGTGCCTCGTGGTTGGTGTCCACAGGGTCTTTTCGCCTCTCCTCTGAAATGAACGGTCCGATCCCAAGTAAAATATACGTGTATATATCGCAGTTTTCATTAATATATATTTGCGAAATTTATTTCCTGAATATATAGCACTAACTGCGCCACTTCATGCAATCGGGCCTGTGTATTGAAAGTTATATTTTTCCGACATATATTAAATAACCAGCATGTTTAGATAAACAACCAAAAATAATTATACAGCCAGCATGTCCAGTATGCTCAGCTCATCTCTGTTTGGGCCTTACCAGCCTGCATGCGGCTCTTAGAATCACGTCGTAGGGCACCTGTGATCCGTGTGCCTTGGTGACACAGGGAGGCCAACCTTGCGGCTGCGGGGCTAACAGTGTATCAATTGTTCAGTTGACTTGCCTTTTTCAGCCAGTCTGCCCTTTTCCATACTTCAAAGCGTGCTGACGGTCGCTCATGGCCTCCTGCTTGAGGCAGCCAGCTGAATAGTCTTAGAGGCGCGTGGGGGCATCTGACGGCCCTCGCCACCGTCACTAAACCGTGCTGCCTCACGTCACTGATTGGAGGGAAGATGAGGCCAAAGATGCGGCGCCGCACCATCACCAGCGTCGGGGATCGCATCAAAACGTGATTCAGACAACCGGTCTCTTGCAGGCACTTCAATGCGCCATTGCAGTTCATGTTGTATTCGTAGTCGTAACATTCGATGAATTCCGGTGACGGATGAACAGATACTGTGCAAAGCCAGGTCAGTGTCCTCGGTCACTCTTGGTTGGTTCCCACTGCGTCCGCCCTTTTCTAGCAGCGCGCGAGGCGGTGGAAGACGCTCCTCCATCATTGTAAGGTACCAGCCAGCTAACGGACAGGGCAGTGGCGCAGGCACGTGGGTCTCCTATCGCTGTTCAGCATATATTATGACAATGTGGTCAGATACATCCTCTTGGATGAGAGCTGCTTTGAAGCTGCAGAAACGTCTGTGGAAAGCTGCTCCAGGCGCTCATTCCCCGGTAACCGCTTTGGGGTGGTATCCACAGTGCAGAATCGGCGGATCGCAATCACTCGCTTCGACTCCAACAGACAAGTTGAAATCAAGATTACATGATGCGTTCTCTGTGCCATGAGCCCCCCATCTGCAGCTTTCAGATGACCAACTGCACGTCGGTGCAGTGCTGACCAGCACGACGAACTATCAGCCCCGTTCCGTACCCTGAGCAGAGAGAGCCAGCGTCGCCTCACAGCTCGCGTGATTTGTCTCCCAGCAGCACCAGTAAGGCTTCCGTACCTTCGTTGGTGATTTTCTGTTCTGAGTCCACTGTAAGTACCAACTGGATAAGTCCAGATCGTACATACATCCCGCCACAGCCTATCTGCTGGTGAGAGATGAGCTTTTGAACCACGGTCAGTGGTCACGTAGATCAGGCTAGTGAAGACGACGCGCTCCACTAACTCAGATTATAGGCGTTGGTAGGCGCGGTCGATCAGTATGAGTAAGAAAGACTTTACTTGTCTTACTTCGGAAAGCTTTTTGGTCACAATTCACAGTAGCAAGTAGCGTCTGCTCAGTTACAAGGTGGCCCACAAAGGGGATAGGTTTACTCAATTCACTGATACTCGGCTCTTCGCAACTTCTTCCAGACGTTTGCTGAGCTCGCCTGCAGCTAGGTAAGGTTCATGGCACCCTGAGAACTTCACTCTCAAGCCATTGTTGTGATAAACAAAGGCAAAACTTGGTAAAATTATGAAATAAATGTAAAACTGAAGCTATCAACAAAATCATAGCAAAACGTTTAAAACCGAAATGTCGCAATTTTTTTGTGAATTTTTGGCCGTTTCCAATGAGATTCACTGGTAAATAGGCATAATGCACGTGATTTTTTAGTTTTTCAACTGCTGCCAAAAGATACTGCCAAAGATCAGCTGCTTCTTGAGACACGGATGGGACTCGATCCGGCAGGGTGCACAGACCGACGCCATCTACACAGATTACTCCGCGGCCTTTACAAGTGTAAATCATACTCTTCTTCTACACAAGCTAAAAACGTCTTTCAACATCACCGGTCTGGCGTACTCCTGGATCGAGTCCTATCTCTCCGGCCGCAGACAGAGAGTCGTCCTGAACGGCAAACTGTCAGACTGGGCGCCTGTCACCTCTGGAGTGCCGGAAGGTAGTATTTGTGGGCCGTTGCTTTTTATCTGTTTTACCTCGGACATTAGCTACGCTGTTCGCACCAACTGTATTATGTATGCTGATGACGTGAAGCTTTACCACCGCGTGAAAAGTGCCGCCGATGCCGACGCCCTCCAGGCTGACCTGAACCGGCTCACCGAGTGGTCGCACATCTGGCGATTGAAACTTAACCCGACAAAGTGTCACACGATCTCTTTTACTTTGCGTAAATCGCCTGTTGTCCACAACTATTCACTGGACGGGACTGTCTTGGAACGCCGTCAAGAGACACGCGATTTAGGGGTCATACTTGACGCTAAACTCACGTTCGCCTCGCACGTGGATTCGACAGTGTCCAAGGCGAACCGGATGTTGGGCCTTCTCATCCGCAGTATGCAGCTGCCGAGACTTCGGCGTAGCTCACGCTTAGACCACCGGGCCCTGATATGCGCGTACAACGCACATGTTCGGTCTCTGCTCGAGTACGGCAGCGTAGTATGGTCAGGCACTGCTGATACCCATCTGAAACGTCTCGAGCGAGTCCAGCATAGGTTCCTCACGTGGCTGGCGTTCCGATCGGACCGGCCCAGCGTTGACCTGAGCTACGGGGCGCTTTTAGCTCATTTTAACATGTGCTCAGTTAAAGCTAGATTTATCCAGCATGACGTCATGTTTTTGTACAATGTGCATCACGGCCGCATTGACTGCCCCGATCTTGTATCGATGTTTGGCCTGTACGTGCCACCCCGATCAACTCGCAATCTTTCTCTCTGGGCCACACCTTTTGCCAGGGTCAACACTGTCCTTCGCAGCCTCCTCTCCCGAGTACCGGCACATACCAACTCCTTTCTCAGATCCTGTTCATCTGCTGATTTCTTCACCTCCACTCACTACTCCTTCTTGACTGGCGTTCGAACTTTCGCGAGTCGAGGTGGCACGTATTTGTAGGAAGCCGACCTGCACTAGCCGTGACTCAGTGCAATACTTTCTTTGTTTTTATTTTATCCCATGTGTCAGTGTGTAATTGTATGTATGTATGTATAGTTGTATTTTGACAAGCGCTGCGCTGGTTTTATGTCGTGACTGCACCTATTATTGGGCACGATGCCTGTTGGTGTTCTGGTGAATAAACATAAACATAAACATAAACATACATCATATTTTGGGGTCCCCTATTGCAGTTCATCAAACTTCGTGTCAAATCCAGTTCTACTGTTATCTATGATAAGGTAAATAGTTTCCGAGAAAAACGCACGTGAAATTTCGTTAAATCGATTTAGACGTGTCATGGAAACGTAGTGAGTGTCCAACGAAACCCCGCCCAGTTCCCTGCAATTAATTACAACGCTCGCTGGCGGTTGCATTAAAAATTCCGTGCTGCATTTAGTTTCACCAGCGCCCTGTTCAAGTGTCTGCAGCCGCCGCCGCTCCCGCGGTCAAAAAGGCTGGCGGCCAATCAGGCGAGAGCAGCATTCTGTGTATGACGTCACACTTAATGCGGCTGTCGCAGCTGCTCCCAAGCAGCCGCAGGGAAACTTCGATATAAACTGTGCGCGTGAGGCAAAACATTGCGGATTTCACTCTTTGTGTAGGTTGGTATATTTATTGTTTCGCAATAAAGTAATTAAGTAATCAAAACGGTCCTAATTGAAGCAATTTCGTCGTTAGGCAGCAATTACATAAAAGAGTTTATTAGTATTTCCGTTCAAAACACCGGTCAAAACAACTGCACCATTTTTTTTTTGTCGACAGCCGCAGCCGCAAAAGTGTTCAACCTGACCGAATCGTCTCCCGCACGTGGCGGCCGCAGAGCACTTGAGCAGCGCCCAGAAATCTGCAAAACAACCATAGCCTCAACGTTTACCGTAAATCAGTACGCTAGGGACTCCGACGTGGTTTCGAACTAATGCAGCAGCGTATCCATACGAACTGATCGCAACACCGAAATGTTCGCCTCGATAATGAATTTTTGGGGCAAAAACAGTCATTTCTAGCGAAAAAATGATTACCTATCGAACACCGACCTTCGGATACTTCTACGGACCAATCTTTGCCAAGTAGAGGTTTCCTGGGCCGCTATATGGAAGTCAATCGGGTTTTAATCTCACCTAACAGCATGAGTGTGCTTTTGTGCGTCCAGATTTCGCCTGTGGACCGACCGCCAATCGACCCTTCCCCCACTCTCACCTTGTTGTGCGAGTCAATGCGCGCCTGGATCTGCCCGTCCAGAATCAGACCCATGAGTTCGTTCTCCAGCTCCGGCACTGTCGTGTTGAAAGCGGCCGCCATCTTACGTAGGTCTGCCGACGCGTACGGGCTGCAAAACAGAGGCAAGCTCAGCACGAGCGGGCGGGGCGGCCGCAACAGAGACACGGGAGGCAGGGGCGGATAAAGCGAGAAGGCATAGGAGGGAGGACAAAAGGGAAGCGAGGAGAGCATTGGGGGATACAAAAGGCCGGGCCGCTGCTGATGTTTGAATCCTATTTATTTAGGTGATGTTAGAGCAGCAAGCCTGCCTTGCAAATTTGTAGCGTTAAAATGACGTAAACCAACAACAGCAGTTGTATCGCAAAAACCAGTCAATGTTGCATATATATGTAGAAACTCAAGAAAGCGTCGTAATATGACAGTGATTAAGACGTCTAGTAAATAATTCAGCTTTCACATTTATTTCAACACCTGACATTTACAGTAGGCACTAGGCATTTCCCAACAAAGCCATTTGGTGCAAGGTCCGTTTGAGCCGTAGATGGCTAGGAAAAGATTAAAAAATCGATGGTTAATAATCAAGGCGCAGGTCAGGGTGCAGTCCTGTTGCCACAAGACTGCTGCTTAACGCCCAAACACGACCCAGTTTTGGGATCGATTCATACATCAGTAGGTACACTGCGAATATAAAGGCAGTGGGGCGTGCGGCGCGCGGGCCATAATCCTCTGTTTTGCGCCCCAAATGGCACTCAAAGTGGCCTCCTGGGACCAGAGTAGCTGTCATCCCATGAATCAGGCACCGCCGGACGCACAGAATCAACCCTTTAGCAGCGGTTAAGTCGGCTGTTCCCGTTTGCACCGTCATAAGCGATAGCAAGGCTGCACCAATGATGTTTAGCATTCACAGTTCTATGCACAGAAGCGGCAGCAATTTTGGACGATTGCGTCATAATCCAGGTTGCGTTTTGCATTTCACGCCAGCTAGCATTCTGTTGGGGAAATCATAAAACATTGATGTGAAGACACGTAGCGTGGGCTAGCAGCTGACTAGAACACTGAACATTTTCTTTAATTTAATAATGAATGATTTTCATAATTTCAATAATATCGTTAGTCGTTACCAGTTAATGATAGCAAAATAAAGCGGGGTTATGCCTTATAAGTTATTGAAAAAAGCGGCGTTACAATTTATGGTCGAGGCGTATTCTGTGGGATGTGGACGAAACTCCCCACCTCTGATGATGATATGATGATGATGATGATGATGATGATGATAATGATGATGATGATGATGATGATGATGATGATGATGATGATGATGATGATGATGATGATGATGATGATGATGATGATGATGATGATGATGATGATGATGATGATGATGATTTGGAGGTTTAGGGCGCCCGTACTGCATGGCCATCGGCGCCCACTCCCTCTACAATCCCCACCCCTCTATTTACAGGTCCATTACCTCCGCACGAAGCCAGCTTCCCCACTTACCCCCCACCCCCACCCCCGGCCGCGTCAGACACCCACCTGAAGTACTGAACCAGTCCGCGGTTCCTGATCATGGCGTACAGCTGACGCACGTAGCGCGAGAGGTGCAGGTCTAGCAGCAGAGTGTCTCGCATCTCGTCCAGCATGCGCAGGCAGTCGGCGTACGAGGACTCGTGGAACCGGTGCAGGGCGTCACGCAGCTGCGGCTCCAACTCCAGGAACAGCTTGAACGAGCTACCGAACGGACGAAAAGGGGACGGAGTGATCAATGCTTTACAATGAACGAGCTGCCGAACGGACAAAAAGGGGTACGGAGTGATCAATGCTTTACAATGAACGAGCTGCCGCGGACGAAAAGGGGACGGAGTGATCAATGCTTTACAATGAACGAGCTGAGCGAAAAGGAACAGAGGGGACGGAACGATCAACACACACTACAGCAAACGAGCTAGGAGGATTGGAACGGAGGGGAGCTAGTGATCAACATGCTTTTACGCTCAGCCACATTCATGCCCGTGCCCGGTCCAACCATAATATTTTGGGCCTACATTTTGACATATTGCGGGTAGATGGCGAGATCCCCGTAAGTCTAGCATGGCCCTCTTTCGCAAGTTGGACTGAATTGCGACGTTGCTCAAACAGCGCGCACCCTCACAGCCACGAATTCACATCTAACACTGAGGCACTAGACAGGTACCTACTTTATCTACAAGGCCAAGAGGAGGACTTGTCAACATCATCATTATGAAATGTTTTCTGTGACTGCTGAAGCTTGGGACTAACCGTTGAATTATTGTGTACGGTATTGCCAGTTACTGAGTGGTGTTCTTGGCACGTTTTTATCAGTTTCATTTGGTCAAGTGTACTACTGGACCAGCATACTGCCTTCAGCAATACCAGTCAGCAAATGAACAATACTGGAACTGGATACTACACAACCATGAATATTACATCAACTGTTCTAGTGGAAACGCATTACGCCTTCAGCAATATCTGATCGCAAATAAATAATGCAAACCACGCCCAGCACGGCTTGCAGCTCTAAAAGTCATACCACTGTCGATTATCATCACCTAGGGAATATAGGAAGGCTCCAAAGAACCTTCAAAGCACCCAGTTAGCACATAATTTGCGCTAGGTATGCCTACGTCGGTCCATGGCGCAAAGGTTATCCAGTAATAAACCTGTTGGTGTAAGGATACCCGGGACATTATCACTGGACAATGGTGGCGTCATGACAGGCTGTCTGGCGGCGTGACGTGTTTAGAAATGGCCTCCGTGCCTTACCCTCACGGGACGCCTTCCACCAGGCGGGTCGGTCACTTCTGTGGCCGCTCCTATGGCTGTTGGTCCCGAGTAACTCCTCTCAGGTTACACCACAGCATGTTTACCAATCAGAGGATAAATAATACAGGAGGATTGCATGGGTGGAGGCCTGCCGACTGTAGACCCATAGCACCTGTGTCGTGACGCAACAGAATGGCTCGTGACTGATTTCATCGGGGCAGAAATCATGCAGAAACAATGCCAGTACAGACGTAAATAAAACGCCCTCGCCGGCTAACAACGCTAGAGAGAGAGAGAGAAAAAAAAACACCCACTAAGCTATTGCTTATTAGTACCGCTGCAATTGGATAAAGATCAGCATAGGTAATTATTGATTGCCCAGTATAACCACATCAAAACCGCATGAAGTTTCTGAGCAAACATAGACAATGATTGGTACCAGCGCTTTGCAGACAGCATTGCTAGTCAGTTCCTGAAAGCACCTGAAAGTCCGTCGATGAAAGACATACTTCAATCACGACATTGATATTATACTCGTATTTTAAGGAGAGATGTTGATACATAACTGGCTACCTGCAGTAAAAATGCGCCCAGCAGTGGAAGCAATATATTTGTTTGTTTGTTTGTTTGTTTGTTTGTTTGTTTGTTTGTTTGTTTGTTTGTTCGTCTAGTTCGCTGGCTGTCTGTTTGCTAAGACTACAGGGCGCGCCGGCTGCGATGGTCATTTTCCGCCACGAGCATCCTGTACACTTGATACTCAGCTGTGGAACACCATTGTACGTACATCGCCAAACCTAGCTCCTAATCCCTTTGGCTTTTACCATAGCTCAGCGGATTGAGCGTTGGACTCCCAGTAGTGAAGAGCCCGGGTTCGAGCCGATCCGGCACCCGATATTTGAGACTCCTGACGGGAGTGGTCTGCGGTTGGTGGGAGCAACTGCAGTCGGTCGAAGTCGGTTGAGTGGGACAGGCCGTGTCTGACTTTGGTGGATACGTTTAAGTTTCGTATCTAGAATTTCCCATTACCTGGGCGATCGGACGGTAGGGGTCGGGACCTACGCAACAAGCTCGGCTTAGCGTGTGCTCCGGCTCTGTCAATCCGTCCATTAGAACTAAACTTCGAAAAAAAAAACATGTCCCTCAAAGAATACCCCTAGTGACTTCGCACAAATGACGTCATCAGTGACGTCACACTCACGCGCTGCCGATGACGTCCGTCTTGAGCTGCGCCCGACTGTAGGTGGCCAGCGCGCAGAGGCCGCCGTAGACGGCCACATTGGACGGGGAGATCAGCTCAGGCAGGTCGCAGTGGTCGAAACTGCACTGTGGGTCAGAGAGAAGATATGGCGGTCAAATCTACGCTGTGGGACACAAGGGGAGCTGATATGACGGTCAAAATGGCACTGTGGGACACAAGAGATATATGGTGGTCAAAACTGCGCTTTGGAAAACACGGGAGATACACTACATATACATTACGTCCGACACTGCACTGTGGGACACACGGGATATATGACGTCCAAAACTGCACAGTGGGACACAAGAGATACAAGACAGTCAAAACTGCGCTTTAGGAAACACGGGAGATACACAGAAGACACATAACGTTCGAGACTGCGAGACAGTCACATTAGCTATGTGGCGGTTAAAACTGCACTGCGGGACACACTGGCTATTTGATGGTCGAAATTGCACTGTGGGACACAGGGGAGACGTGGTGGTAAAAACTGTACTGTGGGATACACGGAAGATGTAGAGATCAAAACTGCACTGTGTGACACGACACAGGAAATATTGGGGGGGGGGGGGAGGAATGTGTCACACTGCGAACTGTTGTGTAACATCGCACAGTGACTCGAGAGGTGAAGACGGTGGTCAAAACTGCACTCCGGAGTTGGACAGGCGAAGCAAACGGCGACCAGAACTGCACTGAATGTAAATTTAAGAGTTGTTTAATTACGTTCTGCAACTGCAGCTGAAGTTAATATGTAGCAGTGGTGGGCACTTCCATAGCTCCCATCGAAAACGATTATCGAAGTCGTTATCCACGAATTACGATAACCTTTTTCAAGTTTATTGTTATTGATTATCGTTACCGAAGTAGCGTTATCGAAGTCCCCGTTTCGGTCAATCGATAACGATAACTTAAAAAAAAAATATGACGCGAGCGTATTTAAGGGAATAGTTCACCTTCAACAAAAAAGTTTGAACTGAGATAGCAGTTTTGTAGATTGAGCACTGAAAAATGCTATTCGGAACGTCTTTCGGCCCAACAAGCTCTGTCGCTAAAGTTATTCAAGTTTTTCGACAAATGTTTGCCTTATTTAAGGAATATCTAAGGAATTACATAATATTTAAAAGCTTATTACTTTCAAATATTTTATAATTTCGATTTCTTTTAAAGTTATCGTTACCGTTATCGCATTATCGAAGTCACCGACCTCGAAAAGGGTTATCGAATTATCGTTATCGAAGTCGCGGTCGAGTTACGAGCAGGGTTGTATACGACTCAATCAATAGCAATCAATTCAATCACGACAAATTTGGGAAACCAATCAAATCAATCAAGTCAGAGCAGTTTTCGGGAATTGATTCAATCGACTCAAACGCGACAATGAAATGAATCAATCAACTCAATCAAACGACTCAAACCAAGACATACATTAGGTTTTTTGCCCCACCAACTTGGAAAAGTGTCCATAGCAGTCTGGTGTACCTACCTACCTACCTACCTACCTACAGAAGAAACATAAAAAATATTGTCATTTAAAATTATAAATTGCCATGCCATTCAAAGATTATATGTAATAAGGAAGGATACCTAGTGATGGACAGGTGGATCATGATATTGAGGTTCAATGGGTAGAATTGGAGCAGAAGTTGCATTCATAGACCTCTACATACCTCTACATAGACCTCTACATGGTATGTAGAGGTCTATGTTTCATTTAATGGGTGCAAAATAACCCAGTAGTTGACTCGCCCCTTAACCCAAATCACCACCTTTCACCTAAAAGTTGTCAATTTAATTTTGGCCATATTCCAGCTAAGTCATCAGGCCATCTACCCCATGTAAAGCCCCTGTCTGTCTCTTATGTGAGTTATGCGGAGCTCTTCTGAAATGAACCCTAAACATAATGAACCTAGCTAGGTTTCATGCCACACCGACACCATATGAAAGTGTTGAAAATGTGCTACAAATTTGACAACTTCATTAGGTATGCTTTATGAAGACAGCAGGAAAGCAGGTAGGTACCTACTTACCTGCCTAGATGTGTCACTGGCTACCAACAGTACCAACGAAGGTAGATCGGTTATATGTGAAGAATTCAAAACATTTTATTGCAATACAATTTGAAACTGTTAGGACTGGGGGAAAGGGATGAGGATTAAAAATATATTTAAAAGGAAATGGAGAGGACAGGTACTCTGGAACCACAGGATAAGTTGAAAGGAAGTAGGAACAGGAAAATTAAAACGCGAAATCGGCACGGTGCGACTGCGAAAAAACAAAGAAAACGTTTTGCCAACAAGTATGCTAAGCTTTTATAAATCCTTATTCTACATCTTTTGATTTTTTGGTAAGATGACGTCATTGATAATCATGTAGTATGGTAGATTATCATAAAATAAATCGTTTTTTCAACACCAATTTCGTTTTAATTATTATTTCATTTGAAATAAAACCACTTTATAATATTCGGTAAAATATTTTAAGGAAGATGAAATATATTTAATATGTTATGCTTAGGCTCTCAGGAGAAAAGGATCAACAAACGTTCTGCTGCAAATTAAACAAATGCAGCAAATTTAGCGAGACGAAAACGGCGCTTTTGTTTCAGTTATTTTGTAGGGGTTTCAGATATTTATAGAGTTCAGTGGGTTGTTTCTGAGGAGATGTGGAGATGTGAATTATTAATTAATCACACTTTATTAGTATATAGGGCCTTGCACTTTATCATCTGGATTAAAAAAAAAGTTTCCTACTGAGTGCAGAAAGGTAGGTAGGTGCATCGCCAGGTTCTATCACCAGGATTGGAGCAGTTATTGCAGTTGAAAGTCAAAGTTGGCTGTCCATGTTTAGGCCCTGTTCTTTATTTGGCCATCTACCCCATATTGCAGTTGTGATGACAAGCAGTTTTCAGTGTAGTTTTGTGATCTTTGATGTCATCAATTGGTGTCATTATTTTTCGTCAACTAAAACTTATTTGAACTTTCCATTCAATCGACTCAATCATACGAGTCACTCTAATTTTCGGGAATCAAATCAGTCAACCAGTCGCTAAAGTCAAACGAGTCAGTCAACCAGTCATCTCGAAAAGTCAATCGACTCAATCCAATCAACTCAAAATACGCGTTGAATCAAATCAATCAATTCAATCGACTTGATTGGTATACAACCCTGGTTACGAGTGCGCACCACTGAATTATGTATTCCCGCTCAGCCTTTCTTCTGTCTACCGTGCTTAACGCAAGAACGTATTATCAACCCTCATGACAGAACATAACTTTTTTCAATGATTCACATCTGCAACAGTTTATTGCTTCCTGCTCAATGCCAGAAGCAAAGGACCTTCACTCCATTATAAACATGGATTAGCTAAAAATAGCTACGGGCGATTCAGAGATCTCACGGTACGTATTTATCGATTGTTGTTTGACGGGCTTACTGCTCGTTAAGAGGACTGCACAATGCACAATTTATAGGTAACTTGTTTCATAGCTAACATGATACTGTAATAAGCTTAAAACGATTCGCACGATGTATCTACGTAGCGACAAAGCGATCGTTAACGTCTTCATGTGTTCCGCAACATATGCGTATGACATCATAGGCAGGTCAATGGGTACGCAAAATACCACGGGCAGTATAAAAGTGAGACACTAATGAACCAAAAGCGCGAGTGATACTGTTCCATAAATGCAATCATTACTTGATGTATCTATAAATTGATTTTTAGCTGGAACACATACATTCTATAATGTCTCTGTCCCAGCTAAAGAATAATAGCTAAACAAAAGCTCCCGAAACAACTATATTAAGTTGGTGTCTTAAACATTTTAATTATAGAAGAATCATTACTTGTTAACATTCCTAATTGCAGATGCTTACGGGAGCATTTCTGAAGAACGCTTTTACGCAACAAAAGTGTTTGACCCTTACCTCACGTCAATTACATGGTAACAATGAGAAAAAAGATTAAAATAATAGGCAAATAAAAAACGAAAGCCAATTTCTTCAAACACGTAGCACTAAACAATATCTCACATATTTCCTGGCTTCTTTGTTACGGATGATGATAGGCATAGAATGGCAGCTTCGACACAAAAGATAAATATGTCGGAGCTACTTTCCTTTTCTGTGACAAGTCCTTGGAAAGGAGCAGCCTGTTATTCCACCCTCACCACCAGGGCTGCGGAGTCGGAGTCGGAGTCGGAGTCGGTCGGAGTCGACAGTTGTAACCGGAGTCTGAGTCGGAGTCGGAGTCGATTTTAGGAACCCGAGCCGGAGTCGGAGTCGGAGTCACCGAAAATCTGTCGACTCCGCAGCCCTGCTAGGTCTGCGGAGTCGGAGTCGGGAGTTGGAGTCGGTCGGAGTCGACAATTCTGCCCGGAGTCGGAGTCGGAGTCGGAGCTGGTTTTTGAAAGCCGGAGTCGGAGTCGGAGTCGGAGTCGCCGAAAATCCATCGACTCCGCAGCCCTGCTCACCACGCCTAGTTCTTGCTGCAAAACGCAGTCGCAATAGCACATACCGATACCCGATACCGCACGCTGCCACCATTACGCGCTGTATACGTCTAATACTGCCCGTCCACCTCTAATAAACAAGCAAACAACTAACTAACATCACAGGCAGTGTTCGCCACGCCATGTGTGAAATGTCCATAACGGCAATACAGTGCATACATAACATCCATCGAGCAAACCGCAGAGGCCGCCATGCCCAGCCCCTTCATGCTCCATTTCCCCGCTATGGGCGGGAGCCAGCGGGTAACTGCGAGGTCGGCAGCGTGCCGAGACCCCGAAATGTCGTATCGCCTCGGTCGCCGAGCCGGACGGTTCGCTCCGCGCGGGTCCGGTACCTGTCAGCCGTCAGTGAGGCCAGCCTATGGCCGAGTGACCGGCTCCGTTACCGCCGGGCGGCGGCGGCCCTTTGTTCGAGAACAGTGCAGTGAAAAGTGCAGTTTGTGAAAAAGAGTCGTGCGATGGTGCCATGGTACACCCATGCTGCTTGGCTCGTGAGCTGAGTGATAAACACTTGCGACGGTCCGTTGATCTGTGTCGCTATGCTCTCAGACAGTGACGAATTCAACACTGATTGT